AATTGTTTTTGCGGATGGCGGTCAACCGTGCACGACCGTCGGGCAAGATTGTCAGTGCAGCCAGGCAGCGCCGTTCCAACGAGGGCGGTGAGATCTTTTTGTCACGGAATCATCTACAATGTCATATTCTGCCAGAGGCGAGGACCTCTATGAGCCAGCTCAAGGCTGGCGTGCAGAACAGCTTCGACGGCTTTCTCCCGATGCTCATGCACCAGTCGGGGTTCTCTATTGTCATTGTTGTGTTATATTCACTCCCAAGCATCGGAATGACGGGTCGGAACCGAGAACGCTTTCGCAGACTCGGAGGCTTGTTGAGGGCGGTGAGCATCCCTTGGGCAGTGATTGGGGACTGGAACATGACTCCAGAGGCGCTGGTGCGGTCTAAGTTCGTGGAGAGAGTGGGTGGAGTTCTACGCGTAGCCGATGTCACAGGCACATGTGCGCAGAAAAAAGGAGAACCTGATAGCATGATAGATTACCTAGTTATGAGTGAATCTGCGGTGCCACTCGTGCGAAGTTTAGAGCCTGTGCGTGATGTTGCCTGGAAGCCTCATATAGCGCTCGTTTTGCGTCTTTGGTCGTCGGGGCTTAAGCTGCAGACTAGGGTCCTCCAGGTCCCGCGTAAGCTACCGCAAGTTCCCCGACCGAGGACGGAGCCAACTGCAGGCTCCAAGGCCAGCAAAGCCAAGGCCAAAGCTTCCGTAGCCCGTGCTGCTGCTCACGAAAAGCGAGTAGCGGATTTTCAAGAACAATTCGGTGACTGTTTTGACCAGGCTGAGGGGTTGAGAGCTTTGGAGGGTGAAGGGGCCCTCGAGGAGCCTCATGAGTTTTTTGAGCCTGATTTTTTTGGCCCCGAGGAGGAAGAAGATCCTTGGGCATCCGAGCTCAACTTCTGTAGTGATAATAACCTAGCTGATGCGTTCCAGTGTCAGCCCGTTGACGGGGGAAAGGCCCTACCCAGCGGTGTGCCCAGTGTGCCCATGTACGGCCGAGCCCCGATGGAAAAAGAGCCCCCCGTAGAGTCTGACAATTCGGTTACGTGTGAGGCCCAGCCCCCCTGCGTTGAGCCAGTCAGTACCCCCGTAGAGCAACGGCCGCATGACCGTAGCGCCCCTAACACTGTGAGGGACAAGTTTTTGGACTCTAGCCGTGGTGACACTACTTTGCCGCAGGATAATGCCAGCGAGGTCGCGTTTGAAATCCCAGTGGAGACTTGGATGGAAAGTCGGCACTCGGTTGGTTTTTCTTCTGGCGCCGATGTGGTGCAGCAGGCCTCCCCCTTCCTCACCTCCTCCGTAGCCTTCCGGCTCGAACCACGACAAAGCGTAGCCATCGCTGGCGTGTACGCGTCGTGGGTTTCTGCTGTGGAGAAGGCTGTCCGTACACATCATGATATCCAGGTCGCCCCTGGGGTGCTGCGGGCACGCGGACCCAGGTTTTCCGTGCAGCCCATGCGTGTGGTCGCACACGCCAGGGCCCTCCCGCTCAGAGATCAACGTAGCCAATGGTGGACGAGAGTGCACACCCTCTTGCATGGAGTGGCCAGGCATCGTAGTCGTAACAACGGTGCTAAGCAGCTGCAGGACATGTATGAAGCGTGCCGCAAACTTCGTGAAGGCCGACCAGGGCGAGTCCATGGAGTACTTAACCTCGCTCGTGACCCGCCTTGGGAGCAATGGCTGCAGGCATTACGTGACCCTGGTGGTATCAATATTGCTGTCTTGGAATCGTATGTGCATGCGGCCAAACGTATCATGGGCAGGGCTCAGCGGGCGGCTATGAAAGAATCCTTATCTGAATTTCAATCCTGGGTGGTCGAACCCACAGCGGCAGGGGTGCTGCACAAATCGCTGAGGCCTCAACCGTTGCCGACGATGGAGGTCTTTCGTGACGGGAAAGTGGTGCAGCACCCATCGGAAGTGATGAATATGAAAGCAGAGAAGTTCAAGCAATTGTGGGCCCCGTCAGTCCCACAGGTCTCGGAAGTGCGCGAGATCTTCAGGACCATCAGAGTTGCAGCAGAAATGGAACCCTTGCCGCCGATCCAGGCCGAGCAGATCTATGCCAGCGCCAAGGCCATGAAGGCTAAGGCGGGCATGGGCGTGGACATGCTGTCCCCGGTGGACTTCCAGCGGCTGCCAGGCCCAGCGGTTGCGGAGCTGGCGGTCATCCTGCAGAGCATCGAGCATCTGCTGGTGTGGCCCGTGCAGACGATGATGGTGGTTGGCAAGCTGACCCCCAAAAAGGTGACGGGGGACAGGGCCATAGGCCTTGTCTCCATGCTGGGCAGGCTGTGGTCGCACGTTCGAGAGCCGATCGTGCGACAGTGGTCGGTGCAGGAGGAGCAGGCGTGGGACGCGGCGGTGGCAGGCAACTCGCGTCTGCAGGAGGCCTACCTCAGGGCCATCGACGAGGAACTGGCGGCATGGATGCAGCTCCAGTTCGGCCACAACCTCGTCGACGTGCAGGAGTTCTACGACACGATCCCCTGGGCACCGCT